CCATTTTCTATATTTGAAAACATTACAGTGATTTGTTGATTATATAAAAATCAAAATTTAGAATATTTCAGTTAATTAGATTGGAGATATATTAAAATAGATAATCATTCATAAATTATAAATGATTTTCAAGTACACATAGTATTATAAAGTTAAAATTTTTGTTTTAACTCATACAGAATCATTTGTATATATTACAAATATATTATTATTATTAAATTGTTTTATCAGACAAACATATTAAACATAAATCTTAAAAACATATCAAATAATTTAATAGAAGAGTTTAAAAATTAAAATTTAGTTGATTTTTACCTATTTTGAATACATTGTAAGATCAAAACAGATTGAAATAGAGACAACAGGAGGCATCATCCAATAACTTATTATCATTAGTTTCTCAACGCTATTATATTTTTAATATAAACCAAAGCTGAATTAATGTATAATTAGGAAATTAACTGAATTATTTATTAAAAAAAATGTAAATGATATGCCTAATTTGGAATGTAATGAACTCCTAGATATGTAAAATAATTTTTTTTTTTAATCTAAGAACAAATTAGAATCTATTTATAATTCAAACATAAATTATTTATTGTATTTATACAGACACTTGGCAAATCACAGAATTAAATTTTATTCAGTTAATACGTGTCATTTATACACGTTTCCGGCATTTCAAACCCCTCTTCAGCCAACTTGCAGTTTTTCTCTGTAATTGTTGTTTTGTTGACCCTTATGCATCTTCTGATGATATGATACGTGTATAAATGAGAGGAACACGTATCAACTGAATAAAATTTAATTCTGTGATTTGCCAAGTGTCTTTATAAATACAATAAATAATTTGTGTTTAAATTACAAAGATTACTGGCATGGTTTCAAAAATACCAGAATTAGAATCTATTCTTATTAAATATCTTAATATAAATTTCAATATATTTTAATATATTTCTTTTAATAAATTGGTTAAAAACCATATTGAAGTACATTATGAAAGTCAAATATTTGCATATTAAATAAGTGATTTTAAATTTTAAAACTCAGTATTTTTAATCAATAGTATTTCTTTAATATAATAGGAAAATTATGTGTTGGTTTAGTTATTCCATATAAAATATTATTATTAGTAATTTAATTACTCAAAATAATAGATAAGTAAATAATTGTTATTTTGTACTTTGTAATATAATAATTTAATTTTAATTTTTGATATATAAAATAAAATTCTTAGATGAGAGAGATGTTTTTACAGAGAATATAGATTATAAATGTTTCCAGTAGACTGCTTTTTCTATTGTTGTTATAAGTTTTTAAGTTTAAATTTATTCATTATGATAATACTCTGTATACTGTATAGATTTTATTTAAATTTATAATAGAATTTTGTTTATATTATTTTGTTAAATGTTAGCTATTCATGTTATACTTTTTTAAAGTTATCAAGTAAAATGATAAATTTAGTAACTATAAATAAAATATTTAGTTTTAAATTTTATTTTTTGTACGTTTATTATCACAAATTTCTTATGTATATTATTATTATTTTTTTATACATATATATCTATATGCTTATTTTATGCTGAAATGAGCTTTTCCTAAATTTTTTCTATTTTGAATATATTCTTTGTATTTTGCCTGCTTTTCAGATGCTTATTTTCATTTTCATTGCAAACTTGATTCATATAGTTAATTACAATCATAGTATATTTAAAAATAAAATTACTTGGTTTTCATTCCATGCCTATCTTCTTTCTTGTATTTTCTATTTCATACTAAATAGATATATATTTAAAATAAAATCTCAAAAAGTTTAATATGTTCAACAATTTTAACAAATAATTTATTATCATTAATTGTTAATCTAAGAATTTTTGCATATTTTTGAAATGTTTTAAATGAATGAAATGTAAAGACACTCCAAACCAAGGAATGATACAAAATTAACAGCACAATTGTTCATTGGCATAAAATAAATTGAAGTCATATATTGACAACAAAAGTTTATTCAGAAATTTCATTTATCTTGACAACAAAAATTATTATTAAACAAACAAACAGACACGAAAAAAAGTAAAAACAGCTTATTAAGGAAACTAATGTTAAAAACTCCTGAATACAATATTTAGGTCCATCAAACTATATCTCATTCATTAATGCACATTTTTATATTCTCTGCATTGCATTTCATTTTCATCTCAACTTCTTTTGTTTTGCTTTGTATAATAGTAGTTTTTATAATCAGTTTTTTTTGGATTGCAATTTGAAAAAATTGTAGACCTACAAATTTCCACTGTCATCCATCTGTCTATTTGTCCTTTGTTAATCTCGAGAACAGTGTTAGACAGATGAAAGTCAAGACCAGATATGGAAAGCTTAGGGAAAAGATTAACTATATACAAACTTCTGGTCTAGACCAGAAGTCACATGAATTCAGTTCAAAAATTTTCCATTGAATGGAGTTATATAGATGACCAGCATGACTCTATTTTCAGGAAAAGTATGATTACAGGGGCAAGACACTACAAATTTGAGATGGAGAACATATATTTTAAATTGAATAAATTAAGAATATGATTAAAAATTGCAGCCTGGCATTGGGATGATGTCACAATATGTAATTGCTCATTCTGACAGGCCTAATTTAGACCTTTGCGGGCCCTAGGCAAAATAATATTTACGGGCCCCTTTACAAATTTTGTATTATTACAAATATAAATAAAATTGTAATATTTAAAATTAAAGTATTTTTATTTTTACATTTGAATATCTTACATTGTATTTTTGGGGCTACAATAAAATTATGCAGCAATAAACATTATATTTTTCTCAACAAACTCTGCTTTATTCTGAACTTCACTGAACAGATCTAATGTGCATATACAAACATTATCTAATTCTCAGTGATGATGTTAGATGTCGGAGCAGTAGGTAATGTCATTCTTAATTATTAACCCTTGAATATGGCACTAATAATACAGTAATTCGCAATACCAATAAAACAATGGCACTTTTAGAACCTATTACAGGTTCTAAAAATAGAACAAGTTCAAAATACAAAATATTTTGTATTTTGAACTTGTTCTATTTTTGAAGTGTTGTAATTAACCTGATGATGATCCATTGATTGGATTGAAAACGTTTGTTTTAAGAATAAATCTCTCAGCGAGGGATCAGGTGTTGATTAAGTTAATGATTTTATATTAAAAGTGAGGATCTAGAATCTTTTTAACCATAAGTTACTAAAATTAAAATTGATATATTTTGAGTACCAGTATGAATATAATTATATTGAACCAAATTGATAACAGTTTTGTTCTAATGATGAAAAAAAGAATTGTTATTAAAAATGAATTGAAATTTAACACTTATGAAGTGTTAAAGAACAGAATATGCTGTGTTTGACGATTGATTAATTTATCATAGAAAGTATATTTTTTTTTATACATTAATTAATTAAACAAGAAGATTTTAACTTTAAAAGAATGTTTAATACTTTTAGATTAACAGTTGATGATGATATTCTCCCCCTCTCACACTTTCTGTTTCCATTTATTTTATCATGAACTAGAATAAAGTTTGATTTATTTAATTTATAAATTATGTATAATATATAATATTCTTTCTTAAATATTACTTTTATGTATATAAGTTATCAGTTTATAGCTTTAAATGAATTCATTAGAACTGATATTAGATAAAAGAAAACCAAGTAATTTTATTTGAAATAATTTTATATATATTTAGTAAAGTACATATTGATATTCCAAAACTTTGATAAAGTATTTAATGTTCATTGAGGTGTTCACTATTTTTAAGAAATGAAATATATAACACATTTCCTTCTATCTCTATATCAGAAATGAAATATGTATGTTTATAAACTTAAATTCATTTATAAATTAATTTCATAAATTTTGTTTTGCTGATTGAATATTGTAAGTCAGTGTCACATTGAAAATGTTAAAAAGGCAATACAATCTTGTGGAATCAAAAATTATAGACTACCTTTCACTTATACATTTCTCTACTAGTCACAGCCCCTATTAAGAAACATATCACAGTTTCATGACTTCATAATGATAATTGTCTGCCTTTTTTTTGAAGAAGAAAACTCCTTATATAGCAAAACCATTTTCTGGTATTAAGAGAAATGAAGTAGGAGTATCTACACTAAAATTAAATATATTCTTAAGGAAGAGTTAGATACATATCTCAGAATTTTATTCTTAATCTTGTCACATTATCTAGTCATAAATCCTGAAATATTTTTCAAAATAACATATTTTAGAAAATGTAATAATATAATAGCACATCTATCACCAATATTTCTATACACCATATTCAAAAATAGCAAATTAGAAAGCATATCCTGCAAAATTCTTAAATAATAAATATATCTTTGGTAAAACATATCAGTGATATATATATATATAGCAAAGAATGCTCAGTATATTTCATATTTTTTAAAAATAAAACAGTCCACCAATTTTATAAAACTCTTCCGTCCTATTTGTTATACTTAAGCGAGATAGAACATTTATATATT